AGAAGAGATAAGAAGGATGAAAGTTGGATGAGATACTAGTTTTGGATTAATTCACAGATTACCATTTTCTGAAATGAAAAATGCTATGTGTGTATTTGAGCATTCCCATGTTTTTTTTTCCTTCTACATACATGGAAATCATGTATCATGTATGCTCTATGGCTAATTTTTTTTTTTGCTTTTTTTTTGGGTCACACTCAGTGATGTACTCCTGGATTTGCATTCAGGAATTACTCTTGGCTGTGCTCAGGGGACCATATGGGATTCTGCGAATCGAACCCGGGTCTGCCATGTGCAAGACAAACACCTACCTGCTGTACTATCACTCCACCCTCATATGACTTTAATATTAACATCACTGCTATGATAAAGTCAATTAACAAATTCAATGAGCAATGATCCAAAGTAATGGGAATCTCGTATTTTACTGCTTAATGTGGAAACTGGTCCAACTCTTTTGAAAAGGTGCTTGTTAATGTGGCACTGATGAATATATGTGAGATGAATATACGAACCAGATTTTTCAGAGTTTTATATTGTGAACAAACTTTTGCATATGCAAACCTTTGTATTTAGAAAGTTTATAGTAGAAATATTACAGTATTAAAACTATCTGAAACTGAAACGCCTATCAGCTGTAGAGTCAGCTACTAGTTGAACTATATAATAAAATATGAGCAACACTTAAAATAAATGGAAAGCATATAAAATGGTTCTATCACAGTAATATATAGTACAATTACTTTGTGCATTTGCTGGTGAGTGCGGGGCACAACTGACTGTGTCTAGGGTTTATTACTGGTTCTGTACTCAGGGATCATTCTTGGTGGGGTTCCGGGAACCATATGTGGTGCTGGGGTTGAAACCTAGGTCAACTATGCAAGGCAAGTACCCTGCCCTCAGAGCTGTCTCTTAGGCTCAGCACCATTACATTTGTGAAAATCACCTACAAGCAAAATTCAATGATTTCATATGTTCATACATGGTTGAAAACAATTTTAAAAGAATGGACATAAAAAATATAATTTGTTCATAATCTCTGGATTTGGAGAGAGAAGAGGCTGTGGGAAGGGAAATAAAGGTTTCACATGTTCTATTTGTTCCTTGATCTAAGTGATGAATACATTGTAGAAATTATGCCATGAAATATATACATATATATGCATATATATGTAGAGTGCTCAAGACCACTCTCCACACGCTCGGACGAGCCTCTTGCATGAAGGAACTGGCAGAGGAATTCAGGTGTGCGAGACCTGGGGCTGAGATCTCCAAGCCAGATCTGATCTTCAGATCAGGACTGGGCCTCCTCCACCCAGATCCCCCATCTTCCAGTAGCTAGGCAGTTACGCCCACCAATTGCCCTGGCTGTGTAATCCCATCAAAGGCCAAGATCCAGAGACTATGGAACCAAACTCCTGGAAGAATCTGGCAAGCTCCCCGTGGCATATTCTATATGCCAAAACCCAGTAACAATGATGGGTCTCATTTCTCTGACCCTGAAAGAACCTCCAATGTGGTACTTGCTAAAAATCTCAGAGTTAGGACGAATGGAGATGTTACTGGTGCCTGCTCGAGGAAATTGATGAACAACAGGGTAACAGTGATACAGCAATATGCATATATATTTGATATAATTTTAATGTAAGTCATATACTTTAAAACTCAAACATAATTGTTATTGCTCAACAATCTAATATCTTGGATTTTTCTTTTATAGTATTGTTTTCACAAAAGTTATCATTTATATTTATATATTTGCTTGGGTATTTCTGTTTTAACTATCTCTTTTTCCTACTAAAACATGTTTCATGAAAATTGAAATTATTTCTGTTTGTTTGCTACTGTGAGTTTTAAAACTGATTTCTTCAACATGAACTTAGAAAGCGTCAAATGCTAAGGTTCAAGATCTCTTCGATCTATGAAGAGGATATTTTGTAAAAGTATAGTTGAAGGTTGTGAAAGAAAGTATGTAGCCACTTGTGTGAGAATAACAAATAAATAAGCAAGTAGCATATATATTTACATAGTTAGGTACTTGATAGGTATGAGTAGCACTGTCCTCCCATTGTTCATCAACTTGCTCAGGCAGGCACCAATAACGTCTCCACTGTGAGACCTGCTATTAGTGTTTTTGGGGTGTTGAATATGCCACGGGTTGTTTTCCAGGCTATGCTGTGAGGGCGGGATACTTTCGGTAGCTTGCCAGACTCTCTGAGAGCGATAGAGGAATTAAACCTGGGTCGACTTCGTACAAGGCAAATGCCCTACCCACTGTGCCATCGCTCCAGCCCTTGAGATTGCTATAAGTTTTATTTTTTATGTCTAGTATCTAAAGCAATTGTCTAGTCAATTTCATCCCACTTCGTTTAATCAGAGTTAATGTTTACATCATAATCTCTATTTCTTTCTGCTTATGTACACAAATATAGAACACTTTGGCACCACTGTGTTGTGATTGATGATAAAAAGGGGCAAGAGATAAAAATGGGGAAACTTCTGGTAAAATTATTTAATCATCTTTATCATTACAAATAAGAAAAGTTAAGACACTTATATCCCAAGTTAGTTTTTAAAAATTGTTCGCTTCTCTTATTTTCCCCAATTTCTTTCTTTATTGGTTGCTATGTTCCAGGATTACTTTTTGTTTTTGGTGTTGCTTTCATATATAGCTTTGGTGCTCACTGAATGTCACACATTTCAGTTGCACACACAAGTGTTCCACATTTGGCTGCCATAAACCAGAGATCACAGTTTGCCATAGCAACAGGATTACAAATGACAGTATACCTAGAATCACACTGGATGTGGTATGGATTGAATGTGTAGCCTTACACAGTGAGGGTGGGGACTCTATCATTGAGGTATGTACCTGAGTCCCCATAATTTAAGGGCTTTTTTTACTGTTGTTGTTGTTGCTATATTTTTGGAGACATACCGAGCTGTATTTAGGGATTATGCCTCACTCTATGCTCAGGGTCAATCCTGATGGCATTCAGGGAACCATGTGGGATGCCATGGATCAAATACAGGGCAGCTCTGTGCAAACAAATTCCTTCCCTACTCTTACTATCTCCAAGGCCGTACTATACTCATACTATAAACCTGGTTTTTTAATCTATTTTATCTTTGTGCTCAAGTAGGCCCAGTAACGTCTCCATTGGAGACTTTGTTGTTACTGTGTCTGGCATATCGAATACGTCACGGAGAGCTTGCCAGGCTCTGCCGTGCGGGCGAGATACTCTCGGTAGCTTGCCGGGCTCTCTGAGAGGGGCGGAGGAATCGAACTCGGGTCGGCCATGTTGGCTGCGTGCAAGGCAAGCGCCCTACAGCTGTGCTATCGCTCCAGCTCCATCTTTGTGATGACTTATTTCACTAATTTGAAAGAGAATTATATATAAGCTCTCAAAACAGGAAAGTACCCATCAAATAAACAAGAGATTATGATAGGGGCAGGGAGGTACTTCAATGGTTATGGCTCTTGCCTATGACACAGCAGGCTTGGATTCGATGCTCAGAATGCTATATGATCTCACGAGCTTGCAGGAATGATCCCTAGTGCAAAGCGAGAAGTAAGCCCTGAGCACTATAGGTATAGTGCAAAAAAAAAATCCCAAAAAACAAAAAAAGGATTATGATAATATTAGATAAAATGATACCCCTGTGAAATGAATTAGGACCACAAATTCAGCCAATAATAATCCTAGTACAATAAAATACAATAATAAATATGAGTAACACTGTAGTACTGTCCTCCCGTTGTTCATAGATTTGCTCGAGCAGTATTTGCTCGAGAGGGTCGGAGGAATCAAACTCGGGTTGGCCGCATGGAAGGCAAGATAAAAAATAAAACCATAAATATGTCTATTATGATCTCCCGGAAGAGAACAGCGCAGAGTCTCCTGCCCCCACGCCTGGCTGTCCTCACCGGGGCCCCTTGGAGCAGGCAGGTTGAGTTTCCCTCCCCGCCCCGAGCAGAGCCCTGGCAGCCGAAGACTTCCAGAACCAGCCACAGCCATGCTGAGACCACTCTCCACACGTCCGGACAAACCTCATGCATGAAGGAATTGGCAGAGGAACCCAGGCATGCGGGTCCCCGGGCTGCGATCTCCAAGCCTGCTTGGATCAGGGCTGAGCAACCTCCACCCAGATCCCCATCTTCCAGTAGGCAGGCGTCACACCCACCAACTGCCCCCAGTGCCAGGTAATGCCATCAACCGCCAAGACCAGAGACTATAAAACCCAGCTCCCGGAAGCTTATTATCTCATTCTTACTTTGGACAACCTGGCAGGCTACCAAATGTATCCTGCCCGCACGGCAGAGTCTGGCAAACTCCCCGTGGTGACTCAATATGCCAAATACCAGTAACAATGATGGGTCTCATTCTCCTAACCCTGAAAGAACATTTCACAGGGCTAGGACAAAGGAGACGTTACTGGTGCCTGCTAGAGGCAATCAAGGAACAACAGGATGATAGTGATCATGATCAAAATACGACTACAAGCAAACAATTGAACCTGGGATGGAGGGATAGACCTTTACCTTGCACGGCCGACCCGAGCGACCCAGGTTCGATTACTTCGCCCCTCTTGGAGAGCCCAGCAAGCTACCTAGAGTATCTCGCCCACATGGCAAAGCCTGGCAAGCTCCCTGTGACATATTTGATATGCCAAACACAGTAACAACAAGTCTCACAATGGAGACATTCCTGGGCCCACTTGAGCAACTCAGTGAACAATGGGAGGGCAGCGCTACAGTGTATTGCTATATACACAGCATTTGCTATTATATCTAAGACTTTAATAGACATGTGAAAGTAAAGATGTTATCTATTCATTATGAGAATCATGTTAATTTAAAAGATGGTTATGTGAAAGAATGGCCAGTGACTATTTATGAAAATTGAAACTATTTCCTCATTTACAAATGTTAAAATATGATACAACATTGTATATTAAAATCAATAAAGTAAGGCACAAACACACATAAATGTTTCTGCTTTTCAATTTATTTCTTAGTGTTAATTGTAACCAATATAAACTTGAAAATTTCTGCCCTAAAATTACTTAATGTTTCTATGATTGGAGTTTTCTAAAATGTTGAAAAATCATAAATATTCAGACTGTTGAATTTTGATACTTATAATGAACTGGTAAACTGGATGCAATGTTTCTAAAATTGAGACAAAAATTCCATATAGAGTAGGAAGTATCAGTCAATTTTTTAATTATATTAACATAAATCTTTTCTTTATCAAGAACTATGGTAGTTAACCCAAACATTGCATACATAATACTTGAATACTTGAATCAGTAGACTTTTTTTTTTTGGCTATTTGAGTCACACCCAGCGATGCGCAGGGGTTACTCCTGGGTCATGCACTCAGGAATTACTGGCGGTGCTCGGGGGACCATATGGAATGCTGGAAATCAAACCTGGGTCGGCCGCATGCAAGGCAAATACCCTACCCGCTGTGCTATCGCTCCAGTCCCCTGAACTAGTAGATTTTTATCCATCAAAAATCAAGACATTAAACAGGAAGGAATGGGCAATAGTACAGTGGATATAAGGCACTTGCCCTGTCTACAACCAACACAGGTCTGATTCCTAGCACCCCATTTTTCCACCAAGCACAGCAAGGAGTAAGGAGGTGAACAGTACTGGGTGTAGCTCAAAAACCAAAAACCAAAAACAAAATAATAATAAGAAGAAAATTAGACAGGAATCTGGATCCCTTAGGATTGGTCATCTCAGAAAAATAATATCAGCTTTTCATTAAATTACACAATTAATTGTCACATATGTGTGATCAGTTTTGAAGTCCTTTCAGTAATTAAACTAGATGCAGAATAAAATAGCCACCTCATGTTTGAATCTTAACTGCTCACGTTATTCTAGAAATTACGGCCATATTTTGATTCTGCAGAGTCCAGTGCAGAACTGAGCACATTGATAAATTTGTAAACATCATGGAAAGAATTGTAGAGAGGAACTGGAGCAACCCGAATGCCATTTGGCTCCCGCTTGTCACACTGTGGGGCAGAGAGAAATAAAAGCAGAGTAAGTTAGCTTATCCACCTAGTAAAAATATACATACACTGAAGTCTATGCCTAGTTGCTTAACATCTAATATAAAATCACAATTTTCCTCTTTAGGTACAACATTATACCTAAATATTTGCCTAAAATGGGATTTCTATTTTTTATGAAACCATTCTCTTAATCTTAAATAAACTGCTCATATTATTAATATATTGGCATCTAAGAAACAAAATAATTTTTATTAAGTTCAGTCAGACATTGTCTTATGCATTCCGTAAATTTTGCATTATAGTTTATCTGTGGAAGACACAGAAACTAAAATCTTTAAAAATACTTAATTGAATAAGAACCTAATATTCAGTAAAGTTTTAGTCAAATATACTTATATTTAATTACTCAATCCTTAATCTTGCCCATAGGGAAATTGCTATGTTCCCTGAGAATGGCTAAAACACCACCAGTCAGGCTTTGATCATTTGGTGTACCTTGAATATCATAATGGCTACCTTCAAGGAACATACATTATAGCTAGACTCTGTAGTAAATGGTTTATTCCCACAACATTTTCATAAGTCTTCACACCAAAATACAAGTGGGAGATCTCAAGATTATAAGTGGGTTATTGTTGTTTGTTTGTTTGGGCCAGTCTGTGTCATGCTCAGGGCTTACTCCTGGCAATGCTCTGGGGACAATCCACAGTACCAAGGAACATAGCATAGGGTAGTATAGTATGGTATAGTAACATGCAGCATAAAATAGTGACTTACTCAAGAGCACATGATTGCAAAATGGGAGTGCTTGATTTATAACTCTGATATTCTGATTTAGGTTTGTAAAAGCCTCTCTTAAACATTTGTAGGGTTGTATTAATAAAGCAGTTTCTAAATTCTAAATATCACTGAAATAAATGTGTTAGCATCCTTTTTCTATTACAATTAATAAGTGATTCTTAATTCTCTGCAGGGCATTTTCCTTGCACACCTTGGACCCAGGCTCAATACTGGCATCCTGTATGGTCCCTCAAGATCCACAAGGAATGATCCCTAAGCACAGAGCTTTGGTAAGTCTTGAGCACCAATGGTGAGGACCAAACCCCTTTCCAAAAGAGAATAAAAAGGGTAACTTTAGATCTAGTGTTAAATATACTCTTTTATATTTGAAATACATTCTAACTACACACATACTCACACATATATGTTTATATATTGGCTTCTACTCAGATGCCAAAGTTGAAATTAACTTAGTTAAAACAAAGTATTAAATAAGGCATTTCAGGTAGGAGAGCTATTTCAGAGGTAAGGTGTTTGTATTGCACAGAGCAGCAGAGGTTCTATCACTCAGGGACTGCAACATGTCCTGTGCATCACTGTTTTTTTGTTATCCAATGCAAAAATAAAATGAAAAAAATATATATGCACACACATAAATACATACATATATATAACTGCTTCTATACACACAATATTTAAATGCTTTCAAATTTTATTTTAAAATAAATAGATATTGGAGTTTTCACTTGTGAAAACTATGGAAATTTTTAAAAAGTCCTAATTGGAGGCAATGATATTTTTGCCCAAATTCTAATGAACAGAATAAATAAATAAAAATATCTGATTCCTAAAACCTAAATTAGTGGTTTCTTCCCTTTTACTAGAAATGACAGATCTCAATGCCTTTCAATTAGCATAGTTCTGTATCCTTAGCTGCAAAAGTTATCTTAAGAAACAGTCAACGGTGAACAAACTAAAGAATGCAGATTTGGGCCTGTAGACATAGTGAATTGCGTTGGTTGCTTGCTTCCACATTCAATTCCAGATTCAATCCTGGCTCCTGAGCACCACTAGGAGTAATCCCTGAGCACAGAGCCCAGAATAATACTTGAACATCTCTGGGTGTGGCCCATAATTAAAAAATGAGGAATGAAAAACAGAAGAACCCAAATTTTACCGCCTCCCTGCAATGCAAAGTAAAACATGGTAGTGAAGTGAGTGATATACTTACTACCACTCCTCGTTTCTCTAGTTCTTCATAGACGTATTTGATGGGAACTGAAAATGATAGTGTTAGCTGGCAGCCACGATCCTCCGTATGAGCTGGAGTAACTATGTGCACAAATGGTTTATTGGGTTTTGCTTCATCTTTGCTATAGTAATGCTTGAGCATGTATTCCAGGTAACCAGTTAGCAGAATAGATTTCCTCCTCAATGCTTTCATAGTTGCTTGACTAAAAATCTGTAGAGTGAGAAACAGATTAAAGTATCTTGTAATGCAAAAATATCAAAAACTTAAATCCTTCATAAAAAATGAAATGTCCTCTTTCATCTATGCAAAAGTCACTTCATTATAGGTAATATTTTTGTGGAAATATTTCTTCTCAAATGCATTGATATTAAAAAGTGATGGTAAGCTTTCAATGAAAGAATAGCTCATTAAAAATTCTTTCTAAAGAGTAAAATATAGAATATAAAATAAAAGTAATTTAAAAATCAAGAAATGTTCTTTCAGAGTTACTTTAAAATAGTTTTCTAAATAGTACAGTTAAACATACTTTAATAAATGCATTCGAAAATCTACAATTAAGATAGTTTTCCCCCAAATAATTCATATTTTCATCAAAAAGGTGTTTTTATACTCTTTTATATTTTTTATAGAGCTTTTTGATCTATAGTAATAAAAAAATCTAGAGTTAAAGACATGTCTATAAGTACAAGATAGGGTAACTTTTGTCACAAACATTTTACCAATTTCTAAATTCCTTTTAGCTTCATAGTAATAAAACCATCCATCTAACAGTAAAGCTAAGTTTTGTCAAAGGAGTGTGAAAATCCTGCTATCGGCTGCAGGGTGTCACATTAAGATGAGTGACAAGGGCACACAATAACTGGTGTTGAAACATTAGGGGTCAGAACGCACATGTTTTTTTTGCTTATCTCTTAAGGTCAAATAGAGTTTAAAGATACATCCTACGTATAAGAACTGAATGAACTGCAAAGAGAGCACGGTGCACTGGCATGTCACTTAATGTCCCTTTTCTGATCATGTTATGTCACAGAGCAAAAATAGAGTCATTCAGTAAACCCTAGACTTTATGAAGTCTATGAATATAGTTCTTTCTGAGAATACACAGGGCATGTCTTCCCAGACATTTTAAGAGAACTCAAGCTTAGAATAAATCCAGACATGTATATGTGTATATAATATATAAATAATATTTTATTACTCATTTATTTATTTTATACAATATAATCAAATATTGGCACAGTGGGTAGGGAATTTGCCTTGCACGCAGCCGACCCAGGTTCAATTCCTCCATTCCTCTCAGAGAGCCGGGCAAGCTACCGAGAGAGTATCCCGCCCACATGGCAGAGCCTGGAAAGCTACCCATGGTGTATTCGATATGCCAAAAACAGTAACAGCAAATCTCACTGTAGAGACATTACTGGTGCCCACTCAAGCAAATTGATGAACAACAGCAGGGCAGTACTACAGAGAGTGCTACATATATATAAATACACACACACATACACACACACACATATATATACATACACATATATATATATAAACTTACACTACATGGAAGCTATGAATATGGCTGAACTACAGGATAAGGGTAAGGGTGTATGGGAAGGTGTGTCTATGACCAACTGTGTCTATGACCGGAAGAGAGCAGTTGATGTTAGTAGCTGCTGTAAGCAGAGGTTGTTGGGCTTGCCTCAGAGGGAATCTGAGACTGGCAGTGCAAACAACAGCCCTGGACTCTGAGAACCTCAGTTGCATGGAGTTGTCGACAGTCTTGCAGCATTTTCTTGTGTTAACAAATTTGAAATAAATTTGATATAATTAAAATTCAAAAGGACATAAATAAGTTTTTGATAGAGAGTACCTGGTCTATATGTCAGCATTCTTGCAGAGGGAAGGAAAACAAGGGAAGGAAAATACTGTCTAGGAATGATCCCCAAGTGTGTTTAGTAGTAGACAATATGGAAAGAATAGTTTCAATCTTCTCTTTATAAATAATAATTTGATAGGTGTTTAATTAAGAAATGAAGAAATTTAGTTTAAAAGTCCAGAGAGATAGCTCTGAGCACATGCTATGCAGATAGGTGGTCTCATTTCATATGGTCTACTATATGCTCCCTGATCAATGTGGGAGTGACCTCCTGAGCACTGAGCCAGGAGTAATTGGTCAGCACTTCTGGGTGTGGAACTCAAGAAGACAAACCACAAAACAATCACTTTGAACATCTTTGTTCTACTAGAAGATCCTTAAGATCTATATATGGGTAATGTGTGAATATTCTATTTACTGATATTTCATTGATATTTGTAGCTTAGTAACACTTTGTAGAATATTAAATTTAAAAAGTTTAAAGAATGTTTGGTTTTCAAATTTCTCTTCATCAACAGTAACTGATTTTTATAAGAAGGAAAAGTTTTAATATACCATTACTTTATTAATAATAAAATAATTTTCAGATATAACATTACTTTGCATATTATAACCACAGCAAAGTCAGCCACATTATGAAGCATCATTTAATTCTACTCTCAATGAGAGTAAAAGCCTCTTATGAGGTCTCACATCAGAATGTTAAGAGGGCTTAATAGGAGTTAAAAGGGAAATAAAACAAATATCCTTTTCTCTTTATTGCTTCTCATTATTTCCATGCTTTGGCGATGAAAAATAATAATTTTTTAAATTAGAAAAAGGGAGTTTTAAAATACTGAGATTATAATAGAATTCTTGGCAGCATGTCAATTACTTGTTATTTTTCTTACTGAGTAAAATAAATGCAAAACTAGAATAGTGAGATAAGTTTAACAGAAAAAATGTTAATATTTTATTACTGATTACTGATTCTCATATATTTTATCTTAAAATTTTAATTGGTTCTTCAGTAGTTTTCTTAAGAAACACGTAATACATTTCTTCTGACTTGCCTTGTATTTTAACTACTATGGTATTTTCAAGATACTTCATTATAAATTCATATGCTAAAGTCTAAAAAGTGTCTTCCTACTGCTGTATGCATATATAATTCTTCAAAATGCAATACATGCTTAGTTTAGTTTCAAATTAAGAGTTGGAAGGGTTAGACTATAACACAGAAATTTAAGTGAAGATATCATAATGAAGCTTAACAAGGTTAGAAAAACTCACATAAACACAGATAAGGAAGTTCAGTATATATATATATATATATACATATACACACATATATATATATATATATACATATATATAGGAGCTACAAGAGCACAAGATGTTTCTCACCAAAGAGATATATAAGGTTAAAAGATTTTAAGCAGATGTATTGGGTATTAATATTACAGTGAATGACATTTAATCTAACATATTTTGTTGAATGCATTTTAAAATCATACAATTAAAACAACTTGTCAAACATAATTTATATAGACATGATTAATGCAAAATGACCAACAAGACTTATTATAATCATTAAATTATTACAAGAAAATTATAAAGAAAAATACTGTTGAAAAAATAGCTAAGGCTTACAGCATTTACATAAAATCATAAACAAGTGTATTCCTCATTAAGTCCCCAACAATGTACAATACCTGTTAAGCACAGCTAAGAGTGATTCCTGAGAGCAATGCCAGGAGTAGCTCCAGAGCAACACGTGTGGACAGACCCACCCTCCACCACAAAAATCAAGTGAAGGCATCTCAAACAAACAAACAACAAGTAACCCACAAAGGCACTTCGACATGCATTATCACATTCAATTCATAGTATGATCCATCTCAGAGACGCAAGGGTTGTCTGCATATGAAAATCAATTGCCACAACATGCCAAATACATAACAGCTAGATTAAAATGGCATGATCATATTAATTGCGGCTAAGAAAATAATGGGCAAGTTTCAAAATATGCTTATGATAAGATTCTAAATAAATTAGGAATAAAATAAAATATCTCACCAGAAAACAGTCAACATCAGACTCAATGGTGAAAAGCAAACAAATTTCCATAAACTTTGAAAGAAGACTGTCGTTTTTTACCTTATTTTATTTAATTTTTTATTGTTTTAGTTATTTAATTATTTTTCTTTTCAATCATACCCAGTGGTGCTCAGGGCTTACTCTTGGCACTATGTTCTAGGATTGCTCTTGGTGGTGGTTCAGGTACCATAAATGATTCAGGGGATTTAAACTGGGTTTGGTGGATGCAAGGCAAGGACTTTACCATCTATTTCACTGCACTGGACCCCAGGATGTCCACTCTTACCACTATCCCACATGATACGTTTGGAAGCCTCAGACAGAGCAATTATGCAAGAAAACTATATACAGTGAATGCAAATTTGAAGATGAGAAGAAAGATTTGTTATTTGTTTCTATTCTGATACTACACAAAGAAAATATAAGATTTTACAAAAATCTACTGCAAATAATGAGTTCAGTAAAGTAACAAGATGCAAAATCAGTGCACATAAGTACATTGAATTTCTGTATGCAAACAATGAGTTAGAAAGGAAAGGAAAAATTAAGAAAACAATTCTACTTAAACATATTAAAAGAAAGATAAAACAAGGGCAAGTTGGGAAGTTTGAACAGCAGGAGTACATGCCTGGCATTAAAACTAACAAAACAGGCAAAAGATTTACTTATTATTGGTGGAAACCGCATTGATTGGTGGAATCCTAAATTGGTCCAGGTTCTATGGAAAACAGTGTAGACATTTCTGAAACTGCAGCACGGTAGCACTGTCCTCCCTTTGTTCATTGATTCTCAACAGCAGGTATCAGTAACATCTTCATTGTGAGACTTGTTACGATTTTTGGCATGCTGAATACATTAGTGGTAGCTTGCCAGGCTTTGCCGTGCACATGGAATACTCTCGGTAGATTGCCGGGCTCTCTGAGAGGGGCAGAGGAATCGAACTTGGGTCATCTGCAGGTTCGATTCCTCTGCCCCTCTCAGAGATCCCGGCAAGCTACCGAGAGTATTAAAAATAAATCTACCATACGACTCAGCAATTCTACTCTTAAAGACCCACCCAAGGACACCTAGATACTGATTTAAAAAGTTTCCTTTACGCTTTTCTCAGTACACACTATTTACAGTAGTCAAGACACAGAAACACTTAAAGTGTTCAAAATACCTAGCAGATAATGAGGTGAGCTTATATGTACATTAGATTAATATTAAACTAAGAAACTCTTGTTACTTGTAACAATATGGATAAAAATGGTGGATATCA